CAGCGTGTCCTGTCGTGTCACAGTGTGTCCTCTCGTGTCACAGCGTGTCCTGTCGTGTCACAGCGTGTCCTGTCGTGTCACAGTGTGTCCTCTCGTGTCACAGCGTGTCCTGTCGTGTCACAGCGTGTCCTGTCGTGTCACAGCGTGTCCTCTCGTGTCACAGCGTGTCCTGTCGTGTCACAGCGTGACCTGTCGTGACCTGTCGTGTCACAGCGTGTCCTGACGTGTCCTGTCGTGTCACAGCGTGTGTTTGACAGCCGTCACAGGTTCCTGTTTGTTCTGCAGGTTCTGCTGCAGCTCCTGGATCAGGTGGTCCCGCTCCTCTGCGTCCATCAGGACCTGCTGCGATGGAGAAGAGAAATAAGAACTATAAAAACAACAGAAGCAGGTAAATAATAAACATTTGTTGCAGTAGCAGCTCCAGCCACCAGAGGGAGACTCCATCACACGGGTCAGAGGATGATACCTCCAGGAGTTTGTCCCTCTTCATCAGGTCGTCCCTCAGCTTCCTCTCCTGTCGCTCCCCGTCCTCCTGCTGGTTCTGACGCCTCCTCTCTGCCTCCTTCCTCTCCTTCTGCTTCTCCCTCAGCTCCTGCTGCAGGCCTGTGAGCCGGGCCGTCAGAGACGACACCGTCTGACCGTGACTCTCCCGCTCAGCCTGGTGGGAAATAAAAAACACAGATCAGAGAGAAGCAGAAGAAATAAATCATCTTATTTAAATAAAACAACTCTCTGAGTTGTGTTTCCTCACCTGCAGCTGCTGCTGAGTCTCCTGCAGGGCCGCTGAGAGTTTACTGACCTCCTGACACAAAGAGGCAGCGTTTTCCTCTCCATAAGCCCCGCCCCCTGATGCCTGCTGACCAATCACAGAGCTGGAGGGAGTCTGGAAGAAGCCATTAATTTACTGAGAAGCTGGCAGTGATGGGCAGCTAATCAAAGTTAGCTTCATTAAAATGCTAAAGTATCTTAGCTACACTAATGCTAACTGCTACGACAAGTTTCAGTTGAAAAGTTGTGGGACTGACACAAACCTGTTGAAAGTTTATTTAAATATTGTTAAATGTTTTATTTCTTTTTGACGTTCTTATTTTCAAGTTTAGCTAAAGATGCTACATGCTACCACACACGATGCCTGACACGTGTGGCACTTCCTGTAAGGTGGGATAGTTCTTATTTAATTCAGGATAAACTGAAAAAATAAAAAATAAAAGTTTTTAATTTTTTAGTGGATTTAAAGTTAGCATAACCTGATTTTGCGGAAGCTAATCTTTACCAAATTTCCCTCTGGGTTCAATAAAGTATTTTTGAATTGAATTTGTTCGCTAACAGTTTCAAAGGTTAGCAAAAGAGCTAATCTGCTAAATGAGAAGCTAGTTTCGCTATTAGTGGGTTAACAAAACTCTGTCCACTGCTGGAAACTGGGAACATTTAAAATAAAATAAAATCAAACACAACAAAATGAAATAAAAAATAACAATACAATAAAATAAAATTAAATGAAAGGAAAAGATAAAACAAAAGCAAAAGAAAAGATAAAATAAAAACCGAACCTGCAGGATCGGTACCTTTGTGTCCACCTGAGAAAGGTCCAGCTGCTGTTGGAGGTTTCGGATCAGAACCTCCTTCTCCTTCAGGACAGCAGCGAGGGCTCCGTCTCTCTGCCTCCACAGCTCTCGCTCCTTCTCCACCTCCTTCAGGAGACGCTCCTTCTCCTCCAGAGCTGATCGCAGGTCCTGGATCCAAGAACAAACCAGATTTATTTAATCTGGATTATGTTAGTCTGAACCCACGTCCCTCTCTGGGACTCACATTAATGAGGTCCTGGTTGTTCTGCAGAACCGTGTTGAGCAGGTCCAGGTCCGCCTCGCGGTCCCGTCCAGCCTTCCTCAGAGCCTCCACCTCCGTCTCCAGGTTCTTCTCTTTCTCCATCATTTCAGACCTGAGAGTGTGCAGATACACCTGCAGAGCACAGCCGAACGTTAGCCTCATCATCAGCCGAACGTTAGCCTCATCATCAGCCGAACGTTAGCCTCATCATCAGCCGAACGTTAGCCTCATCATCAGCCGTACGTTAGCCTCATCATCAGCCGAACGTTAGCTCATCATCAGCCAAACGTTAGCCTCATCATCAGCCGAACGTTAGCCTCATCATCAGCCGAACGTTAGCCTCATCATCAGCTGAACGTTAGCTCATCATCAGCCAAACGTTAGTCTTATAAGATGTACGTTAGCCCCATCAGCTGAACGTTAGCCTCATCAGCCAGACCTTAGCCTCATCAGCTGTACGCTAGCCTCATCAGCCGAACATTAACCTCGTTAGCCTCATCAGCCAGACGTTAGCCTCATGAGCTAAACGTTAGCCTCGTCAGCCAAACGTTAGCCTCGTCAGCCGGACGTTAGCCTCGTCAGCCGGACGTTAGCCTCGTCAGCCGGACGTTAGCCTCGTCAGATGGACGTTAGCCTCGTCAGCCAAACGTTAGCCTCGTCAGCCAAACGTTAGCCTCGTCAGCCAAACGTTAGCCTCGTCAGCCGGACGTTAGCCTCGTCAGCCGGACGTTAGCCTCGTCAGATGGACGTTAGCCTCGTCAGCCAAACGTTAGCCTCGTCAGCCAAACGTTAGCCTCGTCAGCCAAACGTTAGCCTCGTCAGCCGAAAGTTAGCCTCATCATCGGCCGAAAGTTAGCCTCATCATCGGCCGAAAGTTAGCCTCATCATCGGCCGAAAGTTAGCCTCATCATCGGCCGAAAGTTAGCCTCATCGGCCGAAAGTTAGCCTCATCGGCCGAAAGTTAGCCTCATCGGCCGAAAGTTAGCCTCATCGGCCGAAAGTTAGCCTCATCAGCCAAACATTAGCCTCATCGGCCAAACATTAGCCTCATCAGCCAAACGTTAGCCTCATCATCAGTCGAACGTCAGCCTCATCATCAGTCAACCGTCAGCCTCATCAACCGAACGTCAGCCTCATCATCAGCCGAACTTTAGCCTCGTCGGCCAAACGTTAGCCTCATCATCAGCCAAATGTTAGCCTCATCATCAGCCAAACGTTAGCCTCATCATCAGCCGAACGTCAGCCTCATCATCAGTCAACCGTCAGCCTCATCATCAGTCGAACGTCAGCCTCGTCCGCCTCACGTTAGCCTCGTCCGCCTCACGTCAGCCTCGTCCGCCTCACGTCAGCCTCGTCCGCCTCACGTCAGCCTCGTCGGCCTCACGTCAGCCTCGTCGGCCTCACGTCAGCCTCGTCGGCCTCACGTCAGCCTCGTCGGCCTCACG